TAAAATTAAAAATAATAAAACTAAAAATAAAATAGGCCATTTTGCCCCATTTGGACCAAGCTCAATTGATCCAGGCTTGGACTAAATTGGGTGTCTACATCAAGTTTGATTTACTGTAAGCCCATGAAAAGCAATTCTCTTGGCCCATAAATAATAATGCTCTTACTTAATTTATGGATGTCTAATCATTTATTATTTGATTTATGCATAATATAGTTCAATAATAATTTGATAAGTACGATAATTAAATAATTAAATATATAATTCATTATGATTATTTATTTTTCATATGTTTATTTATCTCTTGTTATTTTCTAATTATCATATGAATAATTTTTGAAATGTGAATATTTTACTATAAATATTTTTTCTTAAATAAATAAAGCATATGATATGATATAAATTACTTTAAAAATCATAAAATAAGAGGTTTTATGATTAATAATTAAAATTATTATATTTTATAGCAAGTTGAGCAAATTTTATAAAAATGCACGACTGTGACAATCGTAATAACTACGAAAGTCTCCGTTATATTTGTAACTGTGACAAATGCAACGTGATCGAAAACGTGACTACTGTCGTAATTTAAATCTATGATGTAAGCATTGCCTCATTTAAGGATTTTGCAGCACAGTATATTCAGGAACTCAATCCTTTTGTTCTACTAGCATATCAAGATGATTGAGCAAGTAGTGAAAGAATGAGAGCTTAGTTATCCAATTAAGGAGAGAGAAAGATTCTTATTTCCACCGGTCTTTCGTGTTGTACCTGCCACTAACAATTTCAAGAGCCATGATCCCAAAACAATATACATCTGCTTTGTCACTTAAACAACCATCATTGCATATTCAGGGGCCATATAGCCACTGTAAAATTTAAAAAGACTAATTAAATACAACATTTTTTGTGTCAGGAGTCAGGGTGAAACTGAAAATTCTCTCTAAATCTGCTTCAATATTGTATGTATCTCTTGGGAAATTTTTTATCATTCAACCATTCAAATTTGAGTAAAAATAAAGCATACAAATGAAGAAAAGGAACACATTGACAATCAATCTGAATAGAGACTTACTAAGATTACCTACAGAGCAGCAAGAGTTTTAAAAAGCAGTAAAAAAACATAGTAGCCAATCCCAAATAATTTCCTATGATTTTAGTTGAGCTTAGTGGGGGTATGTGAGAAGCAACTAAGCAAATATATTAGAAACCATATAAAAAACGATGTTTCGTTTCCCTACATGCTCAAAGTTAACATGCGATAATTTTCAGAACAAAAAATTGGAATATGCAAATACTCATTGTTAAATTCCTACCATAAGGGAAAAATAGTATTTAAAAAAAAAAAAAAAGTAAAAAAGCTTCGACAGATTAATCAAACACTCCTTAAAAGAAAAGATTTATAGCAAGAAACGATCAGAATCAGATAGGTCATTGGCAAATAACGCAGATGTAAAGATGAACAAGAAGCTATGGCGGCACAAATGGAAGTGACATAGGCGTAAACTTCTGGGGTGAAGACAGCAAATTTGCAAATTGAATAGGGTTTTTTATTTTTCAAACATTTTGCTTTTTGAATTTTTTTTTTCTTTTTACTTTTCAAAAGCATGGCTTTTGGTATTTTTATGGCTTTGCCTCTTTAGCGAGAAAAAAGTGAAAGGCTTTCAAATGCACGTGCCCTAAGGGTCCTGATACTAAGTAAGGCCCATTATGAAACGTTTAGGCGATACTTTTTATTTTGAGGTTTTTCTAAATCAAGAATTTTTTTAATTGTAAAACTACTTTTGTTTTTTGTTTTTTTTTTTTTTTTGTAAGAGGTAAAAAAAGTAACCAAGTGAAGGTCGCTTGAGTACAACAAATAAAATTTATTTAGTAAATATTGTTTTGGTTCTTATCTTTTATCAAAATAAAAAATAAATTTTCAATACTTTTTTTACAAAATAAAAGTAAGAGAATTATAAGATAAATTTATTAGAGTTTATATATGACTTTCCCTAGAATTAACATTCATCATCCTATCTTCTTTTACCATTAATGCATCAATTAAGTGATATCAATTACAAATGGTCAAAATTAACACTAAAATTTTTTTTTCAGTAACAATCAAAAGTGACTCTCACATATAAATAATAATTAGCGAGGATCAAAACTAAGTTCACACAGAAAACTACTTTCAATGAGAGATATAGGTGGCTTTCGCTAAAAAGAGATTTTAGTAAAGGTTGGCATGTTATCTTCACTAAATTCCTCATTAAAACTCATTTTTCTTGAAGTGAAAAGAGATTGTCATACTTTTGATTAGGCTTTTACTATAGAAAAATGAGGATTTGGTGCAAGATTGTTAATGCTGTATCAGATAATATTTTGATTATTAAAAAAAATAGTATATATCGGTATCAGTTGTTTTGGTATATTATTTCATATTTTTTGGTTTAGTATAAACATATTTATAAATATACATGAATTAGTACATAATAATACTACTAATAATTTATAAAATAAAATATGCAATATCTTCAAAAATCAAATAAATAAGTTTAAAAGTATAAGAAATAATATTATCAATTTATCATGATATTTTTAAACACTTAATCTAATCATAAATTTTTAAATGAATATTTTTCTTTTTTCATATAAATATTAAGATAAAAACAAAGAGATGTAAAAAATAACATTGACTTAATGTTTATTAAACTTTAGAGAGGGAGCACGATTATTTTATTAAAAAAAATTGAAATGCTTATAAATTTTGATTTAAAAAATAAAATATAAAAGAAAACAAGTTATAGTAAGAATAAAGAAAACCAACTTTCAAAGATTATTTTGTTAATTATTTTTATTTTTATTGGGTTTAAAATAATCAAACAACAAAAATAAATTAAAATAATAAAACATGTTTCACAATTACGTATCGATTAAAACAAGTTATTTCATCGAAATTTCTCGAAATTAGTCAAAACTAATGAGTATTTAAATTTGATACAAGAAATTACTTTTAAATGTATCGTATTTTGGTATAATTAAAACGTAATAACCGATACGATCGGTACTAAAATAAAAATAATAACATTGATTTGGTGACTTTTTAGCAACGTTTCTTAACAAGCGCCACTAATTGTTACATCTTTATAAATTTAGCTGTATTTTTTATCTAAACTCTACTAAATAAACATTTAGTGGTGTTTTGAGTAAACACGCCGCTAAGATAATATATTTGTGGCATTTGAAGCTGAAAACGTAATGAAACTTTAAAATTTGATCGCATTTATACTATAAAACATAACCAAATGATTATCAAAATATAATTTTGTAAAAGTTAATATGAAAACATAAACGTACTGTTTTAAATTTATTAACGGTGTTATGAAAACAACACTAAAATTTAAATTTATTAGCGGCGTTTTTATAATAAATTTAAAAAATAAATTTTCTCATATTTTAATCCATATCAAAAGCACTGTTTGGATAAAATAGCGGTGTTTTTTTTTTAATAAACGCATCCATTATTAGAAAATTAGCGCTGTTTGCTTGTACAAATGCAGTTAATTAAGCCCCAAAAATATAAAATCGACCCAGCCCCCTTCTTTTCTGCCCGAAAATGCTGAGTTTTTCCCCATCCATTCCTTTCGATTTTTCAGTTTAAAACACTATATTTCCCTTAACTTTTTCGTTTATTTTCCTTTCCCTTTCTTTTCCATAAGATTTTCCTTCTGCTGGATTAGCCCATTTCGTGCTTTAGCAATTTCTCATACCCATTTTGTAAGGCAGCCATTTCACAAACCCATTTTGGTGGACATCGGCGGTGAGGCGCAACTGTTGGGTCGACAGTAAATTTAGCTCTCCTTTCATTCAGCAAATGTTGGGTCGACGGGATTTTTTCACGGTAAGGTTTTGTGTTTCATCAAAATGTTTTGTTTTTCCACTTTTAATATAACATCAGATTTGAGGTTTATATTTTTTGTATTAATGTTGATTAGTTTTCTAAGCCAGCAGATAGGGTTGGAATTTGATCATATTAGCTAGCCTCTTGGTTCCCTATGATCTTTACAAACCAAAACTTTAGGGTTGGAATTTAATTAGATCTTTTTAATACTGATGGTTTGTTTTTATTTTTTTAGCTTTCTTGTTTTTGGTACTCGATTTGATTAATTTTCTTATTTTTATATAATTTTGCGTTTTGTGTTTTTTTTTCTTGTTGGGGTTAGGGGGTCTGTGAATCTCAAACCTTTCTCGGGGTGTTGGCTTGCGAGTCTTAGGATGATTTAGTTATTATTTTCTATTTGACTAATATTTTCTACTTTGTTGTGTTTGATATGGTTATGAAAGCTTTAGCAGTTACAAGGTTGATAATTGACAAAGAGACAGTTAAAGATGAAATTTTAAGTAACTTGTTTTATTTAGTTACATATACATTACATATTTGTCCCATATTAGAGATAACAAAATTATTCTTAGCTGGACTTGATTAGATAGATATTCTGCCTGGTTGGAGGCATATCAGTATTGAATAGATACTAATATAGGTTGGATTTCGATTCTACTATGTAGACATTATTTTAGTTTATGTTTGATGGAAAGGGAACTTGTGCAATTCTTTTTAACACATTTGGAAGTTGATCTCTTACTAAAACCTCAGCTTCTATGAGTTTAGGCCGATGGCATCATGTATGCTTTGGGTTAAAGTTGTCATTTCTGAGACAATTGAATGTTGTAATCGTCTCTTGACTGGCAACAAAATTATGAGGAAATGCATATATTGTGACTAGAGTTGGATCTTCAACGAGTAGAAATGACCTGAACTATTTTTTACTCAGTGTTAATTTGTTCTTTCAGATTATCTGAATTTTTGGTTGCTTCGACATTATACACAAGGTTCATTTCTTAAGTTCTATTTATGGAGAACATCCATACTTGCACCCTTTGAGTGCATGCAAAGAAAGAAAGAGAGAAGGTGTTTTGGGAAGGGGGTGTGAGAAGAGAGGAGATTCCTTGGTAGGAAATCCCATTATTACTGAGTTTTTTCTTTTCTTGCTGTTTTTGCCTTTAGACTTAAGGCAAAAGCTGAACCTTACCTTGTTTTGTTCTTCATTATTTATTGCTTTAGTATATTTTTCTATAATTGGTGTTATCCGTTTCTATTGAACCTTGAAACTTTTAGTTTATTGCCATGTTGAGCTTATGCTTATTTGTAATCTTTAGTGCTATTTTTCCATACCCTATTGATGTAGTTTTGGAGTAGAAACATGACAGGGAGAGAAAAGAAAGAAGAAATAGAGAAAAAAAAAAAAGAAAAGAGGAATGCAGGGAAAAAAAGGGAGAAACTAGAAAGGAAAAAACTACTTTCAATATCCAAATATGAGAAACTTCTTGAATGATTATGATAATCAGCATTATAGTGCAACCCTAACCATTCTTCTAACAAATGGGGAAAATCCCATAAATAACTCTAAACAATAATAGGACCTGAATAATGCCTCAAAGATGATCCTCTATCATTGATTAGTAAAGCAGCGGCCTCATCAAAATTGTCATGTCTTTGTCAGGTACATTTTTAAAATTTTAACAATTCTAGCATTATTGAAGCATGTTTACTTGTTAACGAATTTAGCATTGTTATTCACTGTTCATTTGAGGAACTATCCTACTGATTAATAAATAATTACTCTCTAAAAGAGAAAAAAAAGACTTCTATTGTGATTTTTGTTTTCTTTTGTTTGTAGATATAAGTTTGATGCAATTTCTTTGTAAAAGAATTTAGTATTGACCTATGAATGGATCTCTTTTTGTGATTATTTCTGAAAAAAAAAAAAGTACTAAGATGTTTGTCATTTGAAATGAAAGAAAAATTAATAGTCAGATGGATGAATATGAACCTACTCAAGAGCTCTGGCTTTTTGTGACAGGGATCTACTCAAGTAGTGCAAAGAATTGTTGCACCAGGTTTTAGTTCTACGCTTGGTATTCTGACAGGTTTGGAATGTTTTTGTATTTATCAGGAGGTATGATTTAGCATATGTATCTTGTGTCCTTGAGAATGTTTTGTTACTTCTAAATTTTATCATTGCTATACTTTGCATGTTATTGTTAGTAAGTTACTATCTCGTTCATGTAGGCTGTGGAAGTTTTTGCTACCTTTTCAACATCTGTTGGATATCAGCTGATTGTAATGAAAAACATTGCAAAGAAGTTGGTGGTTCCAACTTCTCAAGGAGAAACTTAGCATCTTCATGATGAGCCTATAATTCAGGTGGCTATTATTTTAGATTGTTGTGAGTTATATTGTATATAATTAGTTAGATGATAATTTGGTTTTTATATTGAACTTAATTGCAGGATTTGCTTTCTGATCTTAGGATTGGGGGAGTCTCACTTTAACTAACTAAAGCAACTGTTAGTAGCAAGCCTTTTTGAATTGTATTAAATTATCTTAGGTTGTCTTTAGCTTCTTTTTGATATTGTGATTCTTGTAGTTATATGATGAAACAGTTCCTTTTGTTAAGATTCGTAGTTCTTTGCATGTGCATGAGAGATTAGCTTGCTTGGTTATGCACAATGAGCCTATTACCTTGGTTGGTGAAACTGGCAGTGGGAAGACTACACTTTTACAGAATCTGCCATAAGGCTAGGTCAGAAGCTTACTGTTTTGGTATGATGGTTGAGCATCTCACTAGGTGCGATGAGCATTCATGAATTTCAGTATTTATTTGCTGAATGACTGTTGAGAAGGCTAACAGGCTATAAAAATTTCAGGAAATTGGATGGATAACATGCTTTATGTTATTATTACTTCAATTTATCTAGTCACCTCACAATAAAAACAGCGCACATGCATCAAAGTAGGTTTTGTTGCAAAACTCTCACCCTTTGGTGGCAATTTATCATTATAGTTACATGTTTCTTTTTTTTTTTTGGCCAAGATTATAGTTACTTGTTGAAGGCCTATGTTCGGTTCATTTTGGTGTTTTGTTATCACAAACAGGAAAAATGCTATGATGGACATTCCGCAAAGAGTCAGGATTTCCATATGTAATGGTCTAGACATTCCCTTCATATTCTTCAATCTGAAAATTTTTAGATGGATTTGCTGCATGGTTATGGCTTTTTGTAAGGTATTATGTGCTGCCATATTCTTGTCATTCACTATGTAATTGAGTAAGTTTTAGTTTGTTGTCTATCTTCCAGATATCCCCACAATGGTTGCATCTTTTTTAAGCCTTCTGGAGCTTTTGATTTTGCATAAATGAGTAATTGTTTGAACTTATGGCTAAGATGGTTGTTAAGGAAAGGGTTGTTGAGTGCATAAATAACAGAAATGGCTTTTATTTATTTTTGTTGGTGCTATACTTGTGATTATTTCTTGAAATTTTTAGGTACTTGAAGTTGTTGAGGATAAAGGAACTAAGAGTGCTGGAGATTATTTCTTGATTTGCTTGATATTTTCTTGCAGGTTTTAGTTATGACAGCTGAATTCTACTTAATATTTTGAGGTACAACATAATTAAAATGGAAGCAATCAATCTTCTAATTCTGGATGAGTGTCATCATGCTGTGAAGAAACATCCATATTCACTGGTGATGTCTGAATTTTATCATACAACGCCAAAGGAGAAGAGACCTTTTGTTTTCGGGATGACTGCTTCTCCTGTTAACTTTAAGGGTATGTTTTTATTGTCTTGTAGTGGATTTTTCTTCCAATTTATATATATATATTTTTAGACCAGGGAACATCTCACTTAACAAAATTCTTTCAGTTGATCGTAAGATATTTTTCCCCTTAACATATATCTTTGAATTGTTACATTAAGTTGTTTCCAGTCAAGTTGATTGTGCAATAAAGATTTGTAATCTAGAAAGCAAGTTGGATTCTGTAGTCTGTACGATAAAAGACCGCAAGGAAGTTGAGAAACATGTGCCTATGCCCTCAGAAGTTGTGATAGAGTATGATAAAGCAGCTAGTTTATGGTCCTTTCATGAACAAATAAAACAACTGCAAGTGGCAGTTAAAAAAGCTGCACGGTCAAGCTCTAGAAGAAGTAAATGGCAGCTCATGGGAGCCATGGATGCAGGAGCAAAGGAAGAGCTTTGCCAAGTTTACGGTGAAAAAAATCTTTCATCAATGGTAGTGTTTCAAGTTTCAACGGTCATTTTTATACTTTTAAATGTCTACTTAATGTATTGAAATAATTTGAATATTATTGTATTAAATTTTGTGATTACATGAAGATTGTAACAAATTATGTATTTAGATATTTAAATATTTATAATATTTAATTTACAAATTTCACTTTGGTTGTATTTTTTTCAATAATTTTTTTATTTAATTATAATAGTAAATATTGAAAGAAAAAATAAATTTAATAATTTAGCAATATTTGTAATGAAAAACACCACTAAAAAATAAAAATTAGCAATACTTTTATATGAAAATGTTGTTAAATTTAACTGTATTTTTGGAAAAAAAAAAAACAATTTTAGCAACATTTTAACTAGAAACGTCATTAAATTTAATAACGTTTGTAATAAAAAACGTCATTATATTTCTTACTGCAAGTATAGACGACATTTTTAATAGTATTTTTGACAAATATTACGAATTATTTAACTATATATATAAACACTGTTAAACATTAAACAAAATGCCGCTAGAAACCTATTTCCGTGTAGTGCTTCCATTAGACGTGTCCATAGTCTTGCAGTTGAAGTTGAATATTAAAGCAAGAATTAAAAACTTGATGAGTGACCATGGCGATCTCTAGTGGTTGCGCACTTCAGGATGAGCGGGTTGAGAATTGAAGTTGTGCATTAATTCGCTTAAGCCTTTGTTCAAGAACTAATAACCTAGCCGTTAAATCCTCAGAGCCAATTGGGCTGTCTCTGGTTATATATGGCAAAAGCCACTAGTTGCTATTCAATTTGTATTTGGCAAACTATAAAGAGTGAGAACAACTAATTCAGAATCAGAAATATATGATAATTAATGGCAGCTAAATTATCGACAATGTTAGAAATTGCATTTCATCATGTGACAATACTGATGGAAAATTGGTTCCAAAGTTTTCCGTACTTGTTGTGAAGATGGAAGTCCCAAAACTTGTGCTTGTGTGATAATAGACAAATGTAGCGTTTAAGGCGTGACAAAACAAATTAATCTTTCGTCATCCACTCGGTGTGTCGTGATATCCAGTAGTTGCATTATATATGCTACAGGGGTGGACCCTCGTATATGCTTGAGGGGTTTAAAACCCCTCTTGTATATATATGCATTTATGTTAAACAAATTTAAATGATCCTTTAAACCAACATTGTTAATATTATTTTTTCTATAGTTACATAATTTAATTTCATGCTTTGCATTTTAAGAAAATTAAAACTATATTACTATTTGTCTTTTTATTGTATCTATTATTCATTATTTAGAAATCTTCCAAATTGAGGGTTTCATTATAAATTTTAAATCACAATCGCATGTTTTAATTTTTTAATCTTTTCAACAATACAAAGTCCAACCAAGCTTTGAATTTGTTTTTGTTTTTTTTTTTTTTGTCAAAAATTGAATCTTATTTACTTAAACTAAAAGTTCAATGCTCTATTAACTAAAAATTTGATATTATATATATCAATAGATTACATGATTGTTGACATATTTTTTAATTAATTATAATTGTTCCCATTCATATCATATTTCACTTTTAATTATTTTAAATATATATCTCGTGTTGTCTTATGATATTTTCAACACAAAAATCGTATTAGAATTGTTTTAAAAAAGTTATAAAAAACACAATTAATTTTCAATCATAAAATTTTCAAATTAATTTTTTAAAAGCATATTTATTTTGCATGTTTGTAAAAAAATTTTTACCGGTCTATTTAACCCTATAAAAAATATTGATTTGTGCATTTTTTTTTTAATTTTAGGTATAAAATGTCAAAAGAGTCAAGAAAGATTTCATTTTTATTAAAAAATTATGTAATAGTAACTCTACCTTTAATATTTATCTCATTCTTAAAAGTTTGGTATAATAATAATTTTCTTTTATAATTTTATAAACTCAATTTTTTAATATATTTTTATACATTTATATTTATACTAATAGAAAATATTTAAAAAAAAAACTAAAATATAATATCAATTGACATCTCATAATCAAATGTTGGATCATAGTGCTCCCCCTTTACGTAAAAAAGGAAAAATGCATGAAATGAAAATTTCTTTAAATAAATATATGCTGTGTCCTCATTTCCAATTTTGGTGTGGGAGCACCCCTTACTCAGCCACTAAGATGCAATGGGACAAAAGCCCATGCAAGATTCACCTTTCAAATCTTGGGCTTAAATGGGCATATAGCTTTCCAATCCTTGAAGAATATTAATATTATTCATCTTTGAAGAATTTATTTTCCAATCCTAAAAAAATGATTTAATCTTAGGAAAATTATCTTTATGTATTTTAACTTCATAAGCAAGTTTAGGGGGATGTTATATGTCTATTGAGCTATAATTAATTAAGAAAATTAATAAATTAAAACATTACTAATGGATTTATTGATTTTAATTTTATTTGAGTAAAAAGGTATTTTCAAATCAAATTAAATGTTTTTGGTTCCAAATTTTGTAAATAAAATCAAATTAAAACATTGCAATTTGTTGGGATTTAGACAATCCATTTCTATTCAAGCCAATTTTTATCTAGGACATACCTTTTTATTGGTGAATTAGAGGAACGTAACTTATCCTATATATATATATATATAAATTATTAATATATATTTAAAATAATTAATAAATTAAATAAAAATATAATAACATTTTAAGCCAATCGTAAAATTTAAAAATTTCATATTATTAAAAAAATAATCTCACACACAAATGAGCCGTTCTCTTTGAGATAAGAGCGAAAAAGAAAAAACAAAAAAATTTGTATTAGTATAATTATACAGACCATTTCAACGAACCGCTCTAATAAAAAGCCGGTCCAAGAAAACTGGTTCAGAGAGATTGCTTATAAAATTAATTTTCCCTATTCCCTTATTTTCTTCTCCATCTCTCTAATCTTTTTTCACATAATTTTCATCTCAAATAACAAAAAAAAAAAAAAAAAGGCCCACCACGGCTCCAACCCGATTCGGCTCCGAAATGGACTCAGAATCTGTAAGTTCACCGAATCCCTCACGCATTCGATTGAGCATTTTGAAAGAAACCTTTGGTAAAAAACCCTAAATCGATCCATTTCTAGGGCTTTAGTTGTATTCTTGAATATATTTAGTTTATTAAGAATTGAAATATTAATGCGGCTTTGGGTTTTGTTTTGTTCTATTTTTGAAGGATTCGCTATTGTAAATCTGTTTAGGGTTCTTGAAACTTGGAGGAATTGCTGCTTTGAAATTTATATATTTCGATTTGGGAAGAGAACTTATGGTTAAGGTTTTCGATTTTGGGACCTTTTTTATTAAAGGAGGAAATTTGTGATTGGGGGTCTGATTTTAGGGTTTGGTTCGGTATTAATTTTCGAAACGGGGAAGATAGGTGTCGGTTAGAGGATAATGTGTATACTGTGTGTGATTCAGAAGTGGTCTCGCCGGGTTGCTACCATGCTGCCTTGGTTAGTTATACCTCTAATAGGTTTATGGGCTCTTTCTCAGCTATTGCCACCTGATTTTCGATTTGAGATCACGTCCCCTAGGCTGGCTTGTGTTTTTGTGCTTCTGGTTACTCTATTTTGGTATGAGATTTTGATGCCCCAGCTATCTGCTTGGAGGGTTAGAAGGAATGCTCGTCTCAGGGAGAGGAAGAGGTTTGAAGCTATAGAATTACAGAAGCTTCGTAAGACTGCAACACGAAGGTGTCGGAACTGCCTGACTCCATATAGGGATCAGAATCCTGGTGGTGGGCGGTTTATGTGCTCCTATTGTGGCCATATTTCGAAGAGGCCTGTTTTAGATTTGCCTGTTCCACCTGGTTTGGGGATTTCAAATTCTGGGATTGTTAATCTTGTTGGAAAAGGTGGGAAAATCGTGAATGGAAAGGGGTGGTCTGAGAATGGGTGGATGTGTGGGCAGGATTGCTTGGAGAATGGAAACTGGGTTACTGGGTCTGTTGCAGGGAAGCCTAGTTATTGGCGGAAGAATGGCACTGGAGTTTTTGGAGGAGATGAGGATTGTTTGGCCGAGAAATCTTATTCAGGCATTGTTATTTTTGCATGCAAGATGTTGACATCCTTTTTCTTGTATGTTAGGTGGCTTTTGAGAAAGATTTTTAGGGTTAGTTCATCGAATGATGATGCTTCATCTGATGCAGACCACAGGGGGATGTTGACTAAGAGGGGTGAGGATGGCACAAGCTTTCATGAGAGCAGAGGAGAAAAAGCACGCAGAAAAGCTGAAGAAAAGAGACAAGCTAGGTTAGAAAAGGAGCTTTTGGAGGAAGAAGAGAGAAAGCAAAGAGAGGAGGTTGCAAGACTGGTGGAGGAACGGAGGAGACTAAGGGACGAAAAACTGGAGGTTGAAAAAGATTGCAGCAAACTATCACCACCTGCTAGGGAGAAAGAGATTAAAAAGGAAGCAGAAAAGAAGTGTAAAGAGAGAAGGAAAGAGAAAGATAAAGTGTCTAGTAAGAGCAACTCTGATGTAGAAGAGCTTGAGAAGAGAGCCTGTAAGGAAACTGAACGGAAGCGTGACATTGATAAGAAGAGTGAGATTGATCACTGGGAACATCAAAAGTCTGGAACAGATAATGTCAAGGGTAGTACTCTAGAAACAGGACATGGAATGAAAAATGCTTCTGCAAATAATTTCAGCCGGGGAAATGCTGGAACCAGATACTTTGATCGTATGAGGGGTACATTTTTGTCATCATCTAAAGCTTTTACTGGAAGTAGTTTCTTTGGAAAGAGTACTAATACTCCTACTGTTACAAAAGAAAGCAAAACTAACAATTCTGTAGACCATCTCCATACTTCTGCCCATAGGAGAGATTTCTGTCCATCGGAGCATATTGCTGGGAAGTTGAGTATGAACGGAGATGATAAGAATGTTAAAATCAACTACCCTGTAAGTTCCTTTCCTTGACTCTGTTTGTTATTTGAGTTCATTGTTTTAGTAAATTATTAGAATTCCTACCTTTTTTACGATATGAAACACAATTATTTTCTTTTGAATTTATCCCAAATGCACAATTACTACCAACTAGAGTAAATTACTTTAGCTATTACGAGCAGCCATCAGCCAGCCAGCTTGAGTACTAAATGAAAATTTTTCTTGCTTTCCTTGTTAGTCAATATTTTAATTGAATAACTGCCTTTATTTTTTTCATTTGGAATCATCATATTCTAGAACTGTAGAATTTGATGGTTTCTTGAAGATTATGCTCTTTGGTGCATTATAGCAATTTATCTAGAAGGAAACAGTGTTACAATATGGAACTGTTCACTGCAGGTGCTTTCAGAACCCCAACTGAGGGCAGCACCTAAAAAGTCTTGGCAACAGTTATTTACTTGTTCACCTTCTGTTCCTCCAGTCTCAAATGCAAATGTTATTAGTAGACCTAATTCAAAGATTCTGTCAGAAGCTCAGAGCCCACCATTACCTGGTCATTCAACAATACAAACATTTGATAATCCTATCAATTTTGGACTGCCATCACCATTTATATCTACATACCCAAATGGAGCCCCCAGCAGTAGTTTAGGTTTCGCACCTGCTATTGAACCCATTTTCCCTCATGCTGCTGAAGGGCTTCATGAATTTATACCAGAAGAACCAGAGCTTTTTGCAGAACCCTGTTATGTTCCTGATCCGGTATCCTTGCTTGGGCCTGTTTCTGAGTCGCTTGATAACTTTCAATTGGACTTGGGTGCTGGCTTTGGAATAGACGTAGCGGTGGAAAGGCCTCATGCTTTGAAGAATATATCTGCTTCTTCTGAAATTAACAAGCCCTCACCTATTGAGTCTCCGTTGTCAAAATTACGGTCTGCTGATGAAAGGCATAACAGTTCTAACAGGTTCCCAACTACCCCAAACGCCCAAGATCTTCACACTTTTCCCGTGGATGGTTCTAATGCAAATGAGATAGGGACATGGCAGATGTGGAGCAGTTCTCCCCTTGGTCAGGATGGTCTGGGTTTGGTGGGTGGTCCAGCAAGCTGGCTTTTACCTCTGGAACATGATAGATCAAACAAGGAAGACTTTTTGCACCCTTCTTCTCAGAAAACTATGGCATCATTGTTCACAAAAGATGACCCTATACTTGCTGGTATACAATCTCCTCGGAAGGTTTTTCTTGGTAATTGCCAGAAAGGTGGAACATTCAGTCCTGTAACTGGTCCAAGTGATCATGATACGTGGTTACAGAATGCTTTATTTCCACCATTGTCTGGTAGTGATAACCATTTTTCTATGAAGCCTCAGGAGGAAATGAGTGAAATGAGTTATGGAAGTCCCAGTGGATCTGCAGGCACCCATCCATTTGAGCCATCTCCTCTGAATTGTTGGCCCAAGTGAGTGCATCAAACTTATATCCTACCATTAAATGCTCTAATGTTTCACATGTTTGTAGATGGAAAAGCAAGAACCTTGAATGTTGTCTTTTTTCTTTTCTTTTTTTTTTTGTTGAATCATTTAATCATTGATTTGAATAAATATCTTGACTCTTGGCATTTTAAGTTAGCTCCATTGACTGGAAGAATTGTACCAATGGAAATTTTTCGTCTTTTAGGAATAGAATTTTTTGTATCTTTTGGCTCTATCTTTACTCTTGGATTTAAAGCAAGTATGAGTGATGGAAAATGTTGTACTAGTGGAAATTATTAATCTTCTAGGAATACAGATTCTGCATCTTTGGCTTAATTGAGTTGTTAATACTTAATTACAGAAATTGTTAAATCTGAAAGAGCATTACATATGAGAAATGAAGCAAACATTTTTTTTGGATGCTTGATGTACTTTAAAAAAAAAAAATTAATGATTTGCATTTTGGTGAAAAGGAATTTGTCAATTTGAAGTCATCTGTGTTTACTCTCATATCTCAACAGCACTTCTTCCCCTCGTTTAAAGAGTATCCCTGAATCTTTGGCAATTCTAAATTCTTCCAAACATATATGTAATCCTGCTTGAAGTCGACTACACACCACTAACTAGCTCAAAATGCATTTGTAACTTAGATATTCATTTGCAAATTCTGCTTTTTGTTCACTTGAATCCTTTCTGTTAATTACCTTGACTACTTACATTCAATGTTATATGAAGTTATCAACAACCAATGTTATATGAAGTTAGTTTTGCACTTGAATACTTTATGTTAATTACCTGGCCTCCTTTATTGCTTTCTATTCTGTGCTAGAGAACTTGTAGTAAAAGCTGATATTGAAGGTGTCTTTGGAGTTGTTCCCGCTTGTATTGATTTGTCTTTTAAAGGGATAATTGTAGTGTGGTTGGGTCCATTCATTGAATAGTCCATCTGAAGAAATGGGCAGCTGCGTTTGTGTGCCCATGTTTGTTTAATGCATTTTCTTGGTTAAGATTTTTTTTGTAATTTGTGATGGGGCATCTGATACTTTTTGGGCACTGTTATCTTTTGGCAGGAAGGAAGGGGTTATGCAAGGTTCAGTAGAAGATGTTGGAAAGTCTTCTGTTTCAATGCCACATGTTGGGGGTTTATTTCCCAACCCTGTTGTACAGTCACTTTGGTAATTTAATTGAAATAGGAAAAAAGTGACAAATTGCCAATTGGAAGGGCTTTAAATACCTCTAATCTGTTCTCACTTCTCAAGATCTTTTGGGAAGGGGGTTGGGGGAGTTTAGAATTCTTGATGATGCATTGTACCTTCTCTTCTTTAAGAGGGAGATTAACGTTGACTTAACATTAGCTTGGATAGGAAATACACGTGGGATGCATTCACTCGTGGCGTAAGGTGACATCTAGGTAAAATTATACCGCTGCTTGATTCTTTTTTAGCTTTATTATATAAATTTGCTGCTGGGGGTGCTTTTTTTTTTTTTTTTTTTGGGGGGGGGGGGGGGGTGTTCCTATTTTGAGGCAAGAATTGTTCATTGGGGCAGATGGAAAAGCAATTCCTCTTCGTAGTTGCTTCTCTCTTTTAAATCTTCAGTTGAACGTAATGTGTTGGAGAGCAAAGCATGGCATGGGCTGCAATGCATCGGTTCATAAATAAAGTTGGTTTGACTCTAGCATCTTCGCCTAAGCGCTTTTGCTAATTTGAGCAATTCATTAGAATTTAATTTTAAGGGCTAGAATATATAAAAGAATTGATCTCATAAAAAAAATATTTTTTGAATACTGTAGCTAGTCTGTTACTAGTCGCTGCAAGCTTGGAATCAAGAAAAGCTCTTGATCCTTCCTGGTCAATGAATTGATGTTGGTAGTTCTGAAGATCTGAAAACGGTCTTGAACAATTGGATATAATCTGCTCTTTCACTTTAATCCAAATCGAAGAGATAAACAGAGATGAATGCGAATGCATTAAATAATTGTTTTCAATCTTGGGTGGTTTAATTGAAGAACATACGTATAAAGAACCCAGTAAAAAACACATCTATTGATCTGGACAACTTTGAGAAAGCAATCAGATTTGAGTAAATATTATACATGCACAATTGCAAACCAGGGAGTTAAAGCTTTTTGTACCATATTACAACAACAGATCCAAGCGGTTTTGGGGGCAGCAATTATGCATCAGTCAATGGTGCCTGCTTGGCATCACTACAGGCACGGAGTATGGTGCATACATCAGTTGTTTCCAGAAACTGCTCTGCATTTGCAAGGATCAGAGGGCCGTACTCGAAAACCAACCTCTTACACTGACAAGAAAAAACACATGATGGTAGATAAGATTTATAGACAAGACCTCCATGGAAAGGGAAACAGAAAACCAATAATCAAGAAGGACAGCAATAAGCCAAATGTTATACATGGAGATTTCTTTCACATTTGTTAATCAGACCAACCCTTAAAACATAACAACTTGTATAAATACGACAGTTATCCTAAACGTGCTTATTTATGGATATTTAATTTTATTTGTTGATATAACTGACCCTTAAACGCCATAAATTTCTAAAACTCAATATACACGCCTGCCATTTCTCAAGAATGTTCGAAAAGAAAAAAGAGTAGCAAATGATACATCCAACAACTAAAATCTCACAGCTTAGTTATAATGTAAATAGACCTACAATCCAGTGAAGTGTTTACTTTAATAAACTGTTTTTATGGATGTATAACAAAACGTAAGGTTAAAATCTTACCTTTTGCACATAGTTCTGCACTGAATTACACCCCTTCAAAAGGAGCTCAATTATCTCCAGCTGGCATCAGGGCACAAAAGGAGCAGCAAATTAGCAACGTGTTATCTGTTATATTGCAAAAGGCATGTACTCGTAATAGTCCACATGATCCTTCTTTAGCAACAGGCATACCATATCAAATATCTGGAAACAATGCAGTATACTAGCAATACGTCAACATCTCTACTACCCACTTATAAACCAATCCAGCCAACCCTCATGTTGTCACTACATACATTATACGTCAATAACACTGCCTAACAATGTCATCCTTATGCCCCCCCAACCTACCCCCTCCACCCACCCCAACAAAAGAAGAAATGTAACATTTTAAATGTACATTTGTGTTAACTATTCCCAAAGCTAGCAGTACATTATAATGATTCAACCAAAGCAGAAATTATGTATAGGAAAGCAAATATCCAATTATTCATAAGATCAACCCTTGTAGACACATTTAGTTTTAAAAAGATGGGAGTTATGCAAACCTGTGTATCAGGATCTTTCAACTTAATTAGTACTTCTGAAACAGCATGGTGACACATGCCACAGCTATCTTCACGGATTTGAGAAGATATAAGTGCAACTTTTTGACATAGGTTGACCTTTCGACAGAAATCTTCAGGCTGTGTTGAAGAGATTTCCACAAAGAAGATAGGAACATAGTAGTCCACCAGTGTAATGCACTGTGCAGTACATATCAGATAGTCATTTAGTATTTTTGGACTCAGGAAGAGAACAAAACGAAGACACTCATTTAAAAAATATCCTTGAACATCAAGTGGAAAACTAATATTCAATATTTTAGGCTTTTCGGTTTCAGTGCTGAGTTGACACTTAACCATCCCATTTTGCCCATAAAATTTAGTTTAACAATTCCTGTATACAAAATATTTGATTATATTGCATGGGACTTGAGTGCGTATCATGCTATAACCTATTTGACCTCAATTGATATAGACGGAGGCAGATTTACCATTTAAACTGAAGTATCATGCTTCTTTAGTCTATGAATCAAATATAATGATGAAAAATTGACCTATTATTATGCATGAGGAAAAGATATATGGATATCAGTCTGATGATAATCAAGGCCTGCTCTCAGCTAGGCAACCTCAAAAGTGGAATTTCAGCACGTTCTGATGGATGGAACTCATCACTTTATAACTACCAGAATTGAAAGACTTTCACTTATACTAGATAAAAAAAAAAAAAAAAGAGTGAGTTGAAAAGAGAATTATGTTTTGAAAAGAAAGTAGTCTAATGTCAGATATGTGGGTAGTTCTTTTAAAAATGTAAAAGATGAATACCAACTAAGTTGGTGTCTGGTTAACTCGAACACCAACTTAGCACCAACTTAGTCAGGCATTTTAATATTATTACAGATAAAGGAGACAAGATGAAGAACAAGAAAAGCCAATACTCAATCAAGAAAATTTTGCTTTTCTACTTTTAATTTTTGTTTCTGATTGAGGTTTGAGGGATGGAGGATGCACACAAATTATCTATTTCTAACTTACCTGCTGCTCGAAAGATGGTATATGGGAGCAGCTCTTGTGAAGCATCTCAACTACCTCAGTCTGGGTCTTGTTTTGTGAAAGGAAATCAATTGCCTCGGTAGCAAATTCCTCACACAAGGTGCACACATTGTCCTTCTGAGTAACCTTTTCTACTACTTCCCCATCTTGCCCATGGTTTATCTGCACAACTGAACCAAGAAATCTGTGTCATTACACTTGATTATTTTCTCACTTTCATTTAACAATGTTTATTTAAAAATGCTAAACCACATGCAAGTCAATTTCTCAATTAAGAAAGAAATGTATATGGGCATCTCAATCTCAGCACATCTTCAATGAGCAATCATTTAGGGATCTCAGTACCATAAATGAACACTTTTTGGCAAAAGTGCCAAAGCTTCAAACATCTGCTAAATATCAATATTAATTCATGATGCAATATGCAAGAGATATATTAACAGTTGAAGCAAATGACCACGATAATTAATGTAGATGAAGTAGTTTCTATGTACAATCAGATCACCTTTGAGGATACATATTTTTGACACAGTGGATCTTGATATGTTAAGATTTTCTAATTCAAACAGCCAAAAGGTAACAAGAGATGCATTGCTTTACTTGAATGTTGTAACCAGAAGGAAGCAGTGAGTAGGGTGGAAAATTACAACATCAGGCACCTCATCTTCCTACAACATATAATATATAATTTCAAATTTGAGGTGCAAAAACCAGACCGATCCTGTTGACCTGCATAACTTGCCTGAATAATTATCAAACCCAAAAGCCTGCATAACTCTACTGAAGCCCAACCTGAATTAATCCCAAAAGTGGCCTAAATCTAAGCCCAAGAATCAAGAATATCTCAAAAGGCCAAAAGTTCAGAACCTAGAAAAACCAAACCTAAACTCACACTTGTCTTGAGCCGTCCAATCGCGAGCTCTATCTCAAAGAAATTCAGCTGCCAAGTATTAATCATTAATTTAACTCAAAACATTTTTACAAGCAAGTAATTTGAGAGACTTTAGAACATATCATGAGATTGAGTTCAACCATTATTAGGCAGTAACTTCATCTGAATAATGATTATTAATCATTAACAGAGTCATTCTGTGCATCATGTTTCTTATCTTACCAATAAACAAACAAAACTCCCACAGCATAAAAATCTAAACAGCCTCCCTCACTACTAGGAAAAGATAACGAAAATTTTTTAAAAACTGAAAAGAGACAAGAACATTAACAAAGACTACTAAAACTCTAATAGAATTACCTGATCCATCAGAGATTACTACCTCAGCGGCTTCTAGTTGTCTAGCATCACAAGCCCAGCTAGTACTCAACACAAAGAGGAACAAGAGCCCAAATTTCATATCCATAATTCCTGGAGTTATTTATTAGCTAGCATGAGAATTCCATAATGCAAAGCACACTACAAGGAAAAAGTCAATGTCTTTTAGATGAACATAACCGTAAAACGTTTCTATAGTAACAATGGACAAAATATTTAAACTAATGAACAAATCACTTAGGAGGTGTGGCCATAGTTGAAAAGAGATGAAAGCCAATACACAAACTAATATTACCCTTAATTACTAGCTATATCTAACTTGTCAGTTAACCGTTTGACAGGGCTTCATACAACCAAGATAGAAAGAGACCGGTAGTAAGTCTAGAACAAGCTAAGTATACTCGAGGCAGTAGCCTTGATTAATCTTAATCCAAAGGATAAGCCAGAAAAAAAATAGCTGTAAACACCAATACACTTCAAATTTATAACACTTGATTCATATTCTTGAATCTTTCAATATTAACACTAATATAAGATGAAAAAAAAAAAATCAAAGAAAGAAATATAAGAAAACCCATCAAAAATTTTGCATAAAATTAAACAATTGAAAGAAATTAATTGGAAGATTAGCATAATATAAAGTAGTGAATTAGGATTAATGAATAGGGGTTCAGAAAGATGTATGTAAATTGAAAGGAAAAGAAAGAAATTGAATGAAAGAGAAGAGTTTTACCTTTGTGAAAGAACAGTCAGCGCAGAGAGATTGTATGGAAAGGAAACTTGTTTCCTTTGAGTGTTGGTTTGGACAAGGCGTGCAAGTTGGAACCGTCGTTGGCTCAGTGGCGCTTCCTTCTTAAACTCATCAATTCACGTCGTTTTGCTACTCTACGGTCAGAGTGACACTCTTTCTTAGTTAATCCCCATTTATCTTCTCAGCCTTTTTTTTTTCCTATCAAAATTTATCAATCTTAAATATTTTATAAAGATGAAATATCTCATTCACGGTTATTGGAGTTTTAAGCCTGTTTAGTGAGATAACGCATATTTTTAAGATACATATTAATTAAAAATGAGATATACGATATTTTTAATTTTATTTATGAAATTAAAATATTATTATTAATTTATTAAAACGAAATTTTTAATAAATATATACAACTAAAATCACATAACTCCATTTTATTTAGAAAAATATTTTTCATGTTTTAATTTTTGATTGATAATAAATATAAAATGAAAAGATATCAAAATTAAAAAATTTTAATAAATATTAAATATGATAATAATTTAAGTGGATATTACATTTATCTTCTAAAAAATTTGTTTCTTTTATGAAATTGCATGTATAAGTCGAAATTAATTCATCCAACTAAACATTACTCAAATATATGACATAGTTGTTATATTTAAGAAGAAATTAACAAATAAATAAAAAAAAAAGGACACGTTGATAAAGTTGAATGAAACTCAGGATTGGGGAATTTTAATTTGAGATTTTAAAATTATGTTTTATAATAATAAAAAAAATTAATGGGGTGATTCACGTTCCTCGACTTAAGACAAAGTTTTTAGGATAAGTTGAAATTTATATGCATAATATTATTTTATATTTAGATTTCATTTATTTTACAGAAAATAATTTTTATATTTTTTAAAATTTATTTGATAAATATCTTTTAGTTAACAAAAAATGATTTATTGATGTATTTCCTTTGATCTTGTTTTTTAATAGGGAAAACTTAAATAAAAGTTTTTACGTGAAATTTATGAAATTTTTATTTGAAATAATTAAATAAAAAAATTTTTAAAATCAAAATTAATATATAAAAAGATTTTGTTATATAAATTAAGTATCTAAAAGTTTAAAAAATTTTTAATAAATTTAAATATATTTTTTAAGTAGATATTTTTATTAAAATGATAATACAATTTTTATTTTTAAATAAGTATAGATAAAATTTAAATTATAAATAATATTTTTTATATTTTTTATACATTATTAATTTATTAATTTAAAATTTTTATTAAATCATTTTAAAAGAAAACTTCACAAATTTCAAATCACGGGTAAGTTTTGTCCAGTTCCTACGACGTGTTTGTCAGATTGGTCTTTATAGGCTTATTCTTTTGTCGGTGCGGCCGGCGCTAAGGTCTGTCTTTTGTAATGTTGTGCTTTGGATGTAAGCATATGGCATTTTCTTGCGGCTGATGCGATTAACTTTTTTTTTTCCTATTTAATCATAAACGAAATTACATATTTAAGAAAGATCCTCAAGAATTAACAATAGTTACCCATTTAATAGAACGAAATTTCAATCAAACACGGCTCTTCATTGCATATTTTGTATTCTTGAATCTTGCTAGCAAGCAACCTTCAATTCTTCATCCTCATGGACCTTGGATTTTCTTCCTTGTCCATCCTGCTTAACATCCTTGTATTCTTGTTTATCTTTGTGAGAATAGTTCAGGTATTGAAATCCAGTAATCCTGTGAAAAAGTTGCCTCCAGGGCCATGGAAACTACCTCTCCTAGGAAACATGCACCGACTTGTCGGTTCACTACCCCATCAAACGTTGACAAGCTTGGCTAAGAAGCATGGCTCTCTGATCCATCTGAAGACTGGAGCAGTTTCCAATATTGTAATATCTTCACCAGAATTGGCCAAAGAAGCTTTGAAAACCAATGATATCAATTTTGCTTCTAGACCCACCATACTTGCTTCCAAGATCATGTCTTATGATTCTACAAATATTGTTTTCTCTCCTTATGGTAGTTAACGGAGACATCTACGCAAAATTTGTGTAACAGAACTTTTAAGTGCAAAGCGTGTTGAATCATTCAGAAAAGTTAGAGTAGGTCAAATCTCATCAAGGCAACTTCTTTCTCTGAAGGTTTACCAATCAATCTTAGCAAAAAAATTTTCTCATTGACATATGGCATAACATCAAGAGCAGCCTTCAGTGAAAAATGCAAAGAGCAAGAAGCATTCATGTCCATCATCACTAAGGTTAGTAAGTTGTCAGGAAGCTTCACCATTGCAGATATGTACCCTTCTGTTAGAGTGCTTGACTTGATTAGTGGAAGGCCCAAATTTGAGAAGCTACATAAAGAAGCTGACAGGATACTCGCAGACATCATTGCCGAGCACAAAGAGAGGAGGAAAATTACAGACGATGGCAATGGCGAAGAAGTGAAGGATCTGGTTGATATTCTTTTAGATCTTCAAGAGAATGGTGAACTGGACTTTCCTCTATCTGTTGACAACATTAAAGCAATCATCTTGATCAGTTTTCTAGTTTTTTCATTTGCTGCATAGTGCATACACTTAATGAAAACAAATAATTGCTGAAAATGAATATTTGCCTGTCACTTGTTTACTTCACTTCTATGTGATGCATAGCTAACCATTGGTAAAATCTATGATTTCTATTTGATGCATGGCTAACCATTGGTAACATTTATGATTAAGCTTACTAAAGAGTCCAGTATCCACCTTCAGGACATGTTCAGTGCTGGGAGTGAAACATCATCCATAACTGTTGAATGGACAATAGCAGAACTGCTGAAGAACCCCAGAATTATGGAAAAGGCCAAAAATGAGGTAAGACGGGTCTTTGATGGTAAGAGGAAATGTGGATGAAGAAGGCATTCCTGAACTAAGTTCCTAAAAGCAGTTATTAATGAAACATTAAGACTGCACCCTGCTGTGCCTCTGATACTAAGAGAATGCGGCCAGAACTGTCAGATTGATGGTTATGATATACCCGTCAAGTCTAAAGTCCTTGTTAATGTAGGAGCAATTGGAAGGGATCCCAACTATTGGAATGATGCTGAGACATTTTATCCAGAGAGGTTCCTTGATAGCTCAATTGATTTTAAGGGAACAGATTTCAGATACATCCCATTTGGTGCAGGAAGGAGGATATGTCCTGGTATATCATTTGCTCTTAGTAATATTGAGTTGCCAATTGCACAATTGTTGTACCACTTTGATTGGAAACTTCCTCATGGAATGAAGCCCGAAGATTTGGACATGACTGAGGCGCTTGGTCTGTCAATAAGAAGAAAACAGGAGTGGTTTGCAATTCTCATCCCTTATCATCCTTCCCCAGTGCGATAAATACAAGATGCTAATTTGATCAATGTCATTGAATTATTGGACTATGTTCTTAGTAATAGGAAGATCTGCATGACGTCCAATAACTTTTACAGTCAAGCAACTCAACCTTTTTTTTTTTACCTGTAATCCTAGTTGCTTGTAGCTGTAGTGTAGTTTATTTGAGTTTGTCAGGATTAGAGATCTTTTATCTGTTTGCAAAGTATCACTCTTAGCGTCTGAATGTAGCATTTCTAAGAAACAATGTCATTTTCTCATACAAAAGGACCCAATAGAATTGAACCTTGAAAAACATGTATAAATATAGCATTTTGAGATTCAAGTCAAACGCCAAGTACTAATTGTCGATTTGCAAGAATACCCAAGTAACAGACGAATGTAATTGGCATAACATGGCAGCATTGCCTCACATAACGATCAGGATATAAATATCCTAATCATCTTTACAAGCACGGACAAAGGATAAATTGAATCCAGCAAACACAATATAAAACAGGGAACATGAAGGAAAAAAACAAGTAACTAGGAGTTAGCGCTTCACTTGGAACAAATTACAGCACTACCTCAAGTCAAGAGTTGGCTTCTTTTTCTTATTCTGTTTTGCTAAAAGAAGTGAAAAGCGAGCAAATCCGAACTTCTTCCTCTTTCCAGAGAACTGCTTGCGACCACTTTCTCTCTCCATCTTTTGAGAGGAGGGGAAATCACCATTTCCTTTACCGAGCATTTGACCCAATGAAACCTTTCTCTTTACAGTGCCTTTCTCTGCCAACATCTCAGTCTCAAAGTCGTCAGGCAGAAGCAACTTCCGGCTTAGTATTTGCCCTATTGATAGGGTTGGCTTCAAAACAGAAGTTGGACCATCATTAACCAGATTCACATCTAATAAACGGGAATCCTTTCGATTGTGAGATGGATAAGAATTTTTGAACTTGGTAGAGTTGTGTACAGATCGTCTTTTCTGTCCATGCTCAGATCTCCACTTGCGAAGAGCCTCCTCAACTGCCAGTTTGCCCTTATTTGCAGCTTCTACTCTGTTCAATGCTTCTTCCAATGCCTTCTTACTAGTTTTGACTTCTTCCGTGGCTTCCTCTACCCTCTTCAAGATTTCCATTTTTGAAACATCTGTTTCATCAACTTGGAGCATAGCATCTGCCACTCTCCTATTAGAAAGTTCCTCAGCATTTTGAGCCTTGCACATTAAGGAAGAGTATTCTTCAAATGAAATAGTCACCCCTTCAGCATTTTGCACTAGAACATCAGACGATCTCTCCCTGCATGAGAGAGTCTTGATCTCTGCAAGAGCCACAGCTTCTGCAGCTCTCGCAGCTTCCTTCATTTTTTTGGCCGCAAGTAGCCTCATCTCAGTTGTTTTTATTCTTGTTCTAGTCTGTTCAGTATCAGATATTGCTCTTGAAACCTCTGATCTTGCAGCTTCTCCAATTTTCTTGAATTGCTCAGCCTCAGAACTCAATCGTTGGAGCTCCCTTGATATATCCAAAGGATTATCAGCACTGCTTTTGGTTTGAGCATCTTTTGCTACTTGCAGTTTATGTCTTGTTTTCTTTAACTCTTCTTCAAGGGATGATATGTTAGAGGAATTCTGAGTTAGCCTCTCTCGAGTCTTCTCAAGAGAAATTCTTTCCTTCTCTAACTTCTTATTTAGTATATCCACAGAACCTCGAATGTCAGCAAGATCATTAGTTGTCCTGGAAAGGTTCATTTTAGCCTGCTTCAACTCCATTAAAATTAAACCTGGAGCTGATGATGGGCAGAGGCTCGAACTTCCTGTCAAGTTGGGATGGCCAGTTTGATGATTTTCTTTCTCTGCTTCTTTCACCGCAGAGGTCACATTCCTGACATCTTTGTTCATCTCAAGGGTCACATTTACTTCAGACACTTCTTTCTGCAGCTTTAACTTTAGTTCTTTGACAGTTCTTTTAGTTCTTTCAAGTTCTTTTAGCACATCGAATGTTTCTCTTTCCTTAACAACAAGATCTTTCTCCAATTGTCCTGCTTGCTCCTCCAATTTAGCAATGTCAACTTCTTCCATATCATGCTGCGAATATTAAGAACTTGTCAGAACAAAAAGACTAAATGTAAAAAGATGCATAGGCAGACAAAAGAAAACTGAGGTAGTAAATGCACTATTCATTATAGTATCAATTATTGCTGTCAAAGACAAACAAAACATTCTATCTCCTTCCTACAAGCCATATTTACATTTCATGATAAAAGCTAATTATAAAGAGAGCAGAATAATAGAAGAAGTTTCAAAGTTAAAGTGACATGAAGCCATGAATTTTTCTCATATATTGAACGCTTCCAATTCATTTTCATGACTGCACGGTGTGTGATAAATGGTACATTAAGCCTTGTAAATAATTTCATCTCTCGATTCCCAACTAAGATATATGGAGCATATTTACTGCTAGTACATGCAAGCATTTCAGTTTGAATGTCTCAGCTTATAACTCGCAACACTTCCTCTTGAAACAAATATACAAGTTATCTTAAGGTACAAGTAGCAAAGTCTATGCAAAATCAACTTTGACACCACCCCAGTGAGCATTCTACTTTAAATTTGCCAGGTTTTGTCTACTTTCCAATCTTAAAAAAAAAAAAAAAAAAACCCGAAATATCAACAACAGAAAACAAACAAGTTGGATAAAAGAAAGAAAAAGAGGAAAAAAGCCAAATCCATGAAACCCAGCAACGTTTCTCAGAAAAGACCTAGAAAAAAAAAAACCAATATTGTTTTTTGGGTAGAAATTAAACCTCAGTTTCAGGGATGAGCTTATGTTGAGAGGGTTTCCAGTAACCGATTCCACCGAATCGAGTAACAGCCTCCTTCACTGACTCAAACGGCGCCGAAGTATCGATCTCAGCTCTGACAACACCGTTCAGAACCCCCATTACTTTGGTGCCCGAATCGCCAAATTCACAGCTGTCCACCTCCATTCCAAAAAACAAACAAAACCCTGAAACTTAAACAAGAAACAACTAAGAAACCTTAAAGTTGCGAAGAGGATAATGATGTTTGGTTTGGAGTTTTAGCAGTTTGTCTGAACCCTGAGTGACTTAAAGACAATCAAAGCGATAGTACTGTAAAAGAGGTAACGGCACCTAAACATGAATGAGAATAAAAAAAAATACTTGGGTTTTGTTCTTTTTTACCGAATTTCCATAAATATCCTTGATGTTTGAATAAATTTGCTGGAGGTTAAATGGAGTTGTGAGGTAAAAAAGGGATTTATTTTAAGTGGTTAACCTTAATGGGGAATGGAAATACTGAGTGACATAAAACGAAAAAATTAAAGCATGTGGGGGGCAATGAGGGGATAGGGTTTCAACGGCAATAAATCTTAACGGACCTTAAAGGACAAAAGCCTTAACTTGAGTGTTGGACGGTTGAGATTTCTTTTTGTCTTTTTTTTAAAAGGAAAAAGAGCACCCTTCTTTTCTTGTTTATAACAATTTCATCAAAATTGTTGGCTAGAGATTTAATTTCAAAGTCTAAGACATCATATATATATATATATAGGAAATTTAATGTTTTTTTTTATTATAAATGTCAAGTATTTTAAGATAATAGTAATCATCTAACTAATTGCTTCTAATTTGTTAATTATATACATTTTTATGAATTAATTAAATCAATAGTAATAATGATTTGTAATATTTTTGTAATAAAGTATACGAATATGTTAATGAGTTTTGATTTCACGTTTTTTAATTCGTGAGAGTAATCTCGAAATCTGAATATGATTTTATTGTAATTATAAGTTTTAATTAAAATAATTTTTTAAATAAAATATATATTTATATAAGGGTTAATGTTATGATTTTTTTTGAACTAGAATAAAACATTTAATGTAATATTTAAATTTTAAAAATTTTAACATGATATTTAAAATATAAATTTATTTATTAATGTGATATTCATTACTATAACGTGTTTAGTTTTAAATAACACATGGATAAATAATCATTTAAATATCATATTAATTAATAAATTTATAATTATATATTATATTAAAATATTTAAAATTCACGTATAATATTAAAATTTTACTGTAATTTAAAAATCATTCGTAATATTACCCTTTGTGTAATTAAAATATTTAAAACAAAATTTATATTTTTATTGTGAATTAAGATTTTGTGGCTATATTTAAGTTATATCAAATTTTCATGATAATTTTATAAAACTATATTGTGAACATTTGATGGTTATTAATCCTAAATATAATTTCTTAGTCCAATTAAAATTATGCTAATCACCAAAGATAAGAAGGATTTCACATCTCATTTATCAGAATTAATGCTTACATATGTTAATCATTGCATCACCTTTATATAATTAGCAATAAGAATGGAGGATTGATGTGATTGCACTACTTTTGCATCGAATTTAAAGCCGATTTAAACTAGCATAACTTTTTTTTTTCAAGGATTAAAATAGCATTACTTTAGCAAACAGCCACGGAACAATGCACTGTTCAAAGAGGGCACAGAAGCGCTCCTTATGATAATCAATGTGTAATAAAAGAAAGAAATTATGGTAATTTAATATTGGTTGGTCACATGAAAATTGCAAAACATTCAATGATTTTATGTTTTATTTTGTTTACTTTAAGATTATAATAACAGGGGAAAAAATAAAAGCATGATAAATGGAGGTTGTTCCTATAAATTGCTACTACTTTCGCTGTGTAAATAATTGTAATCCATTATACATTTTATTGTAGGTAATGAATTATAATGAAGATATTCATCTAGTTTTGTAGCCTGTGAGATTTGTTTTATTTAAATGAATGGATGGAAGGTATACAATTAAGAGAATAAGTTTTTCTAAAAAAATACATTTTCTACATAAAAAACGTAATGTCTAAATTTTATGTAAAACATTAATGTTTGAACATTTTAATTAAAAATTACGTTTCTTATATTAAAAACGTGGTGTTTGCATTTTTAAGACATTATTATCTATTACATTTCAATTGTTAAAATCGTATTGTTTGAAAATTTTTAACAAAAACTTTGATTCTACATACGCAATCATAATTTTAATATTTTTTTCAATGAAAATTTATGTATAATCTTTCTCAAATGTAATTATTGTAGAACTTTTTTAGAAAAAGGTTTTATTACAAAAGCTGCAAGAATTGGTCTTTAGTAAAAGAAAAAAAATTAAATAGAATGATAGCATGCTAAATATGCAGAATATAAAATAGTGAATAAGTTTAGATATAAAATCATAGCTGCCTAAAAATACTATTACAAATAGATTAACATTGAGTTAAAACAGTAGGTGTAAGCCATTGTAGAAGAACAAAAACACAATGGCTAAAAACTAACATCAGAGTTTAAACAAAAGGTCACGAAGTATATGTTAAGTTTTACATATTTAATTCAATTAATGAGAACATAGAACATGCCTTATTCAACCATTTGAAAGAAACAAGGATCACTATGGTTTAAATGATTGTTTGCAACAAATTTTCTCCGGCCACCTAAAAAAGCTTTATTTTTAAGTGAATACCTAAATCGAACAAGCTAGCTTGTCTGTTTTCTTGGGACCATCAGGATGACATTAACGTTGTGTGCTGGAAGGTGTTGTTTGTGAAATGTGACAGGGACATGTTGAATTTTTAAAACAGTTTAACAAACCGTGATTAACAATAATTAATATATGTGTTGTTTAAAAATTTTAAATTATTTAAATGTAATAGAACTTATATAAAAGTTGTTTATAAATATTGTATTACCAAGACATAAGATGATTAAATATTTGTTTTTGTCATAGTCAATTCAAATGATGGATAGTCAAAATCATCGTCGTCAGATTTAATTTCACCATGTTCATCAGCCTCAATTTTCACATTTTGCTCTGAATCAAAAGTTGTATCATCAAGATAAATAATTTTATCAACCATCTTTTTTGCGGTAATTGACTCATTATGCTTTTTTTTTATTATTTTTGAAGAAGATGCCTATAATGCTTTTGAAGATGAAAAAAAAAAAAAATCTCAAGAAAACATCATAAGATAATTACATTGTTTATAAATGAGAAATATTTGAAATTAAGGTATTACCTATTCTTACTTAAAAATGCAAAAGCAGAGCATGAAAAGATTAAGAATTAAAATGCATTATGTCAAAATGATAAAGCAACAAAAATCATAAGTTTGTGAATTAAAGTTCTGTTTACATATTATAATGAAAATTATAATATAAAGATAAAGTTCAAACTGGATTAATAATCATAAGAACCAAACAAAAAAATAACAGATTAATTGTTTACAATATTAGATTGTCATAAATGTTCATTCATAATCACGATAAATAATAACTTTAAAAGTAAATTGGCTGATGATTCCAAAAAGACAAAAATCACTAGATTTCAAGACATTGTCAATAGCAAATTTTTTCCATCCCGTTGTAAAAACTTTGTTTCCTTTGCTACATTTGTATTGTACAGTCTAAATCTTGTTCGATGAAGGAATCAATAAAGTCACAGATATGGTGCAGTTTGGCATATGACAGTGGTATTTGGATGAAATTTTCTATTATAAAGAAATTATTGCAAAAGTTATCAATGAAGTTCACAAAAAATATTTATTTGATGAAATGTATTGTTATAAAGTTATTTATAAGGTGTCAATGATAAACATGTCGATGTACAATTAGTAAAAATTACTAATAATGAAATAGTATGTATGAAAATAGTATATAAGTGGTTTATCACCAAAATGTAAGATCTTTGAACATTTGTATCTTTCATCAAGCAGTAGAGTATTAGAGTATCATCATCAACAGATTCATAATATCCAAATATGTCATGATGATAACTTGGATATTGATCATTTGATTCATTATTTGAATCTTTAGCATCAATGCTTTGAATAGGATTTGGTTGATTAATCAAAAAAGAACTTGTATCATTGATTTCATTTTGATTTATTGTAATAAGAAAAAAAAAAGATATATAACAATTTGTCTAGTAGAAAGGAAAATCTCAAAAATTGTACTCTTACTAATCTGAAATTCAATAAATCTCAAGGTTTGAAAGAATGGATGTCAACAAAATGTTTCCATCCATTTTGTAAGTATAGTTGGCCTTCAATTTCGATTAGCTCCATTTAGAATAAATTTGAAGTAGAATCCTTGAGATACACAGATGATGGAGTTTCAATGATTGATATGTTTATGCCATTAAATCCTTCAAAAAGTTTCTAAAATGCAATTTTGGAAAAATTTATTAGAAAAAACTAATTAAAAAATAATAATAGGTATATCTATAAATCTTTCAGGTACATTTAAAGTTAAAATAAGATAGTATATCTATAAACATTTTCATAGGTATAAATTCAATGAATCACAAATTAATCACTTTGTAGATTCTAAAATGACATATGAATAAATGCTTTATTCATTAATAATAACAAATTAACAAATAAGGAAAATAATATTAGAATCATCATAGTTACAAAATAGGTAAAAATCAAATGATATTATGGTTAATTAAACTGTTAATAAAGTATTAAAGAATTTATATGTTTGGAGAAAAGTTCATTATTTATAATCATATCGTAGTTCAACTTCTTATAAAAGACGTCAAATTCATGGTAACAATAAGCAAATCTAAAAAAAATATACATCTTCACATAAAATACCATCTAAAATTGTAGTTACAACAAAAATGGGTTAAAATAAGTTTATAACATAAATTTCTTTATTAAAAATAAATCTATTGTTATTACAATATGATTAAAAAGGGAATAAAAAATAAAGAAACTAGTTGAGTTTAGGTGACTTTTACCACAATATCTTGAGTAATATCTTTTTCAATGATAAAAAATTAAGGGATTTCATTAATAGTTCAATGTTTGCTAAAATGATAGCCAGCAATCTTTGTTGACAGAAAGAAGTTTTTTTTTTTTTTTTTTTCTTTTTTGGTTTAAGTATAATGAAAAAGAATGATATGAGGTGTTATATTTTGAATGATTCAAGGAAGTTGTTTAGTTTTTGTATATGAATTCAGTTTTGATATATACATTTGATAGGGTTAGTAGTAGAATGCTAAAAGTTTTTATGAGGAGTTGAGTTGCATTTAATGTATATTTAATTTATAAAAAATTATTCAGATA